CTTTTTTTTCTATTGTATAGGCCTCTAATTTAAACAAATAATAGACATATTTACCACATTATCAATTAACCTAAACTATTTCATTAATGTGCAAAGAACATAAGGGCTTTTGATTAGAAACTAAGGTTTCCCAAAAACAGTTTTCTGTGCTACCAAACCCTCCCTATTGAGAATACATTCCCCTGCCTCTAGGCAAATAAATTGTGAGACTTAAACCATAATAAGACTTTTATTAGTAACATTATGTCCTTTTGGCAAAGGGCCACACTCTCTAATAGCTAATTTATATACTCCTCTATTAGGAGACAAAGTATAAGGCTGAGGTAATAACTAAGTCAGCAGCGGCGCTCTGTGGTGCCACATAAAGCTGAGAAACTGGGGTAAGGTGTGGGATCCTTAAGGAGGACTTGAATTTATTCCTTGATGTTGTAGGCCATTGCTCACTGGGTATTGTATGCAGATTTAGTCAATAACAAATGTTTGTAAACAAAATAAGGTGATTACAGGTACAGAAATTCAGTTTGTAGTTTACTATTCAATAGAGTATCTGCTTTGTAAAAGATGGTGGACCACAAAATACTCAACGGATTTTGGTTTTCAAACACAATGATGCTGTCAAGGCTAAATGGATACTTGAAATTGGGATTGGATCTGGTGCTGAGATACAACTTTTACTTAGTTATTGATTTTTCTTTCCTCCGATTATTCCAAGGAGGGTGACTACCATTTTTGTACTTTATAGAGCAGTCTAGAGGAAAGGGTTAAGCATGTAAGCTCTGGGGACAGAAAGTCATATTTTCAAAATATAATAGCTATATGACCTTGGATACATTTATAAAACTGTCTTAACTCTGTTACTGAAAGCAAACACCTTGTTTGTTATTTCCTTTTAAGGCTTTAGACAAAGCTCCAGCAAATAATTGAGCATTATAAATAGCCCCTCCAGCATAACACAAGTTTTAATATATTTATCTAAATTGGCCCAAACCAAGCACAATGATTTAACAATTTTGACAGTCAGCATATGCATTTTTTAAAAGACAACGTTTGTAACAAAATTTTTGGAAGCAGGTCAGCACCCCACAATTTTCAAGACAGCATCCTGAAGGCAGACTCAAATTTGAATAGCCATTCATTGTGCCTGTAAAATCTTCACAGAGGAAAGGAAGATTTTCTGTTATCTCTACCTTATTTAGGCCCATACAAAACAGTCTTGATTAATCGGGCAACATCTTCTGATTCGCGCTAGCACTAAAGTAGCATATTAGCCCGTGCCTGTGAGTTGTTCCTCAGTGGCTCCTGGGGGATCACACATAACATTTTTTCTAGCCTGTACATGCGCCTTGTTCATTTACCAGCTGTGCAATTGTAACCACTGAGAGCGATCAAAGCCTTTACAAGAAGTCTTCCAGTATGTAAATTATCAAATTTTCTGATGAAAAAATATCAAGAAGACCAAGGATAGGGGTTCATAGTTAGAAATGGCAGCTTTCATTTCTTTTAAAAATTTAATTTGTAAGGCATTAAATTGGACATTATTGCCACCATTTGAAAACTAAGCATTAAAGGAGCAAAAGAAGCACAAATAATTGGAAACAGTCCAGCTCCTTAAAATTTTTTTTTTTTCCACAGACTGTTTTAATTCTGCAAAATGATACATGTTAACTCTAAGCTGGAAAACACGGATCACTAAGTGATTTTGTGCGAAGCAAACAACAAAATCATTAACACAGAGTTATACCAAAAATGCAAAGAAGACGCTTCCCACCTCTGCACAAAACAACAAAAGCCCAAAAGTTGTTAGGCTGAGACATTTCAAAAATGGGAGTATTTTATGACCTCAGAAAAAGATCATGTCAAAGCTGTTTTATCAGTTCAGGAAAGTTTCCAAAATGTTTAATCAAGTCAGCATAAAGGATACCAAAATCTGGGAGAAAGCGTAATAAAATAAAATGCTGCAAAACACAGTTCATCCTCAGTTATATCAGTGAAATATCCTAAATTAAAGACTTGCCGATAGAATGCAGCAAAAACAGAGACAGAGCAAGAAAGGACTCGAGCAGGAGCCCAGGTTCACGGTAAAACAAGTGGCTGAGCAGCTGGAGAGAAAGCAGCCGGGGAGTTCGGCCACGTGACGTGCGGTCGGCCCTGCGGCAGGGACTATCCAGGCTGCCCGCCCCTCAGGCGCCTCAGCCTCAGTGATCCTCAGCCTGTTGGGGCACTGAGAAAACTTTTGCCAAACAAAGGTAAAGATAAAGAGCCCGGGGTTGGAGGCACTGGAAAATTCTCTTTTAACAGGGCAGAAGGAAAAGAAACGGGAAAGCTCTGAGGTGAATTAGAAGAATGTATCTGTAATATTTGTTGAAACATTTCATAATACACTACATGTCAAATTTCCCTTAGAAGAAGAAAGAGCTGGCTTTCTCTTCCTCCCCCTTTATACCCTGGCACAAATGGGCTCCATTTCAGATTTATTTTATTTTATTTTATTTTTCCAAATCCTCAGATACCTTTCCTCCTGTGGCTACATTACCACACTCCGAATCAGTCTCAAGTAACTCTAATGTCTGAGTGATAGAGTTACACAAGGTCCACAATTTTAGAGGCATAATATCCCCTAACTGGAGAGCTCTAAGCAAGTAACACACTACCTGTAACCATTTTTGCGATTCAGCTGCACTTTAGTCTGATACTGAAACCAGTAATGTTATTCAACATGGGCAAACAATCAGCTTCAAAGTCTTTTCTTTCTTCTACTCCCATAGACAGCAACAGTCAGCAGAAACAGCCATAAATATTCTGAGGCAAGAGAGATGGAATTCCCATAATGAAAGCTTAAGAAGGTTCCCCTTAACAATATCTGAGCCTTACCTGCTCTAGGGGGTTCCTTCTTGTTCTCCCCTCGTTTCACCGTGCTGACCCTGCCTCGCTGCGCCGCGGTGGGGGCACACCGAGTGGTGGAAGTGAGAGAACACACAAAGACAAAGACACACAGAGAACATGGCGACGCACTCAGAGCCTCCGCCTCACTTTGATACATACTCCATAAACCTCAAGGTCAGCAGAAGAATGCATTACAAAACAAACTTTCTTTTCCCACATGTAACCTTCTACTCAGTACCTTGTTTCTATATTCTTTCTTATCTACCCGCCTTCTTGGCGCCTACAGGAGTTCATTAAAAGTTCAGTTGGAGATACTGTCCTTGAGCCCTATCTATTCTCAGCATACTGTTTTCAAAGGCCCCTGCAAAAGACAGCTTTTAATTAAAGACAGCTTTTTAATTTCTAGAAACAAAAGTCTGCTGGGATTTTGGCTGGAATTGTCTTTTTTCCGTAGTCAGTTTGGAAGAGCTGACATTTTAACAATGTTGATTTTTCCAACATATGAACCTTATAAGTTTTTCCATTTATTTGTGTATTCCTTAGTTCCTCTAAGCAGTGTTTTATTGTTGGACTCTAGAGGTCTTTCACATATTTTGCTAAACATACTTCGTGTTTTTAAAGGTAACAAATGGCATTTTTAAATGGTTGGTTGGTAGTATATAAAAATACAGTTTTTTTTTTTTAATATTGACCTTGTAGCTTGTTAGGATTCATATCTACAAATAAAAACAATTTTGTTTCTTCCTTTCCAGTCTGCATGCTTTTAATCTGTTTTTTTTTTTTTTTTTTTTTTTTTTTTGACTTGTTTCACTGGCTAAGACCTCCAATACACTGTTGATTAGAAATTGTGAGAATGGGCATGCCTGTCTGGTTCCTGATGTTAGTGGTGAAACATTGAGTCTTGTATCATTGCCAGGATGTGACCTGTAAGTTTACTACACATGCCTTTTATCTGGTGACGGAAATTTTCTTTTCTTTGATTCTGAAGATTTTAATTATGAAAGAGTGTTTAATTTTGTGAAATGCTTTATTGCATCTGTTGAGATGATTGAATTGTTTTCTCTTTATTCTGTTAATATGATGAATTACATTGATGGATTTTTGTATGTTAAACCAGATTTGCTTTCTGGGGACAAACTTACTTGGTCACAAACAATTATCCTTTTTATATATTGCTATATTTGATTTGCTAACATTTCATTAAGGATTTTACATCTATATTCATGAGGAGTGTTGCCTTGTGAATTTCTTTTCTTTTAATGCCCTTGTCTGATTTTGGTGTCAGCTGTTTATACTGGCCTCATAAAAAAGGAGTTGAGAAGTGCTACCTTTTCCTCTTTCTTTCCTGGAAGAGTTTTTATACCATTAGCATTATTTCTTACTGAAGTATTCCATAGACTTTCCTAGAGAAGCTATCTGGGTCTAGAATTAATTTATGAGAAGTTTACAAATGGAGAATTCAGTTTCTTTAACGGTATAGGGCATATTAGTTTGCCAGGGCTGCCATAGCAAAATACCGCAAACTGGGTGGCTTAACCAACATTTATTTTCTCACAGTTCTGGAAGAGTACCACAGACCGGGGGTCCTAAACAATAGAAATGTATTTCTCACAGTTCTAGAGGCTGAAAGTCTAAGATCAAGGTGTTGACAGGATTGGTTTCTTCTGAGGCCCGTCTCCTAGGCTTGTACATGACTGTCTTCTCCTTGTGTCCTCACATGGTCGTCCTTTGGTCTGTGTTGCCCATGTCCTCCTCTTCTTATAAGCACACCAGTCATACTGGATTAAGGCACACCCATATGACCTATTTTACCTTAATTACCTCTGTAAAGGCTCTGTCTCCAAATATAGTCACCCTCGGAGGTACTTGCAGATAGGATTTCAGCATATGAATTTTGAAGGTACGTAATTTAGTCTGTAGGCTTTTCAGACTTGTGTAAGTTTGGTAAGTTGTGTCTTTTAAGGACTCTATTTTACCTTAAGCTGTCAGATTTATTGGCATCGATTGTTTGTAATATTCTATTATTACCCTTTTAATGTCTGAAGGATCTATAGTGATGTTCCCTCTTTCATTCCTGGTATGGATAATTTGTGTTTTTGATTTCTCTCCAAATGCAGGTTTTGTTAGCTATTGGTCGTGACTCCTGTACAAGGAAAATGGGCTTGGAGAAGATTGGCGTCAAAATTAATGAGAAGTAAGTATATTGGGATCATTGCACTGTAGCTGCACAAAGCAACAGGTTTCTGCAGGTCACCTCTAAGAAATTCTCATTTAATTACTGAGATATATCTTAATTTATCTTATAAGTTCAGTACCAGCTCTTTATAATCAATTTCTTCATCAATCAGTAACTCTTATTGCATGCCTTTAAAAGCTCATATATTGGACGATGACTTTAAGAAATAATTGCAGAGATATATTCACCTAATGTCTGTGATTTAGAACGCATCTTTATGTCCTTGGTCAGGCAAAGAGATAAATTCCAAAGCTCTAAGTGAGTCTGTGGACGCAGTCTGCAGATATCCTAGGCATCCGGGAAATGCCCGTGGTTTCACCAGAGATATTTTCTTTTGGAGCTACAGAAACCCTTGTTACGTTAAGTCATTGACCTTATAGATAATTGATATCCTGAGGTGCATGAATTTTAAGAGAGGTCTTTTCTCTATGTATTTAGTCTTTTGGCTAATAGTGTTAGTCACCTAGAAGTGTAGAGTGAGTTGTGATATATTTTTTTCCCATTTCAAAAACTAATAGGAGTGGAAAAATACCTGTAAATGATGTGGAACAGACCAGTGTGCCATATGTCTATGCTGTTGGGGATATTTCGGAGGGTAAGCCAGAGCTCACTCCTGTCGCCATACAGTCAGGCAAGCTGCTAGCTCGGAGACTTTTTGGGGCCTCTTTAGAAAAGGTAAGTTTCTGCTGTTTTTGAGATAATATCTTGATCAAGATCATGATTTTTAAAACTAATACAAGTAAAACTTGTGTGCTTGTTTTCCCAGTAAAGGGTTCCTCAGAGATATAATTTGCAGTAGACTTACTATTTACTAATGGATTAAAATAAATATTTTTGAGTGTCCACTGTATGCAAGATATTGTGCTGGGTGATGCACAAAGCACTGGCCATGGTCAGCCCCAGGGGCTTATCAGGTAGGTGGGATCATGAGTCAGGCAGGCACAGACTGAACAGAAGACAGAGTATGGTTGTGTGCCAGAGTGCTGTCTGCAGGTTGCTCTAGGGACACTGAAGGGATTGTTTAATTCTAGCTGCAGGGAGGGGGAAAACCTTCATAAGTGGACTGTTGTGCTGTAATAGCATAGGAGCTCTTGGCATGAGTCAGGATTCTGGTCCTGGCTTCAGTGCCCACTTGGCCTGTAAATATGGTCAGGTTGTTTAACTTCTGAGGACCTTAGTTTCATCATCTGCAAAGCCAAGGATGTGAATCAGATGATTTCTACAGAAGATTTCCACTTTTCATATTTTTAAATCAAATATTTGGAATGAACTTTATAGGATGAGTAATTCAAAACTGAGGAAGCAAAGGACTTTTCAGGTGGGCAGATAGCTTGGCTAAAAACACAGAGACCTGTAGTGCTTGGCTTGTGCTAAGGACTATGAGTAGTGTCCCAGGAGCTTTCAGCTGGGGGAAGTACTGCTCAGCTCCATCAGGAGCTCTGTCTGTGGCCATGTGGTAGAGTTGGTGGGAGACGGATGACTGGGGAAGGGCCCTGCTGCATTAGTGGGTGAGGTCAGGAATGCTGAGTGTACCATCTCATGCAAAGAAAAATTGTCCCAAACACAGTACAATAGAACATTTTGGAATGTGTAGGCAGAGTAGCTGGTGATAGGGAAGTACAATTGGAAAGGAGGTCGGAAAACTAATTTAGTGCCAGATCATCAAAAATCTTTGCCACAAAGAATTGGTAGGGCCTTCTCTAGGCAGTAGGGATCTGTTGAGACCTTTATGTCCCCAACTTTTATTTAGAAAGATGTCAAAAGACAGAAAGACTACTAAAACAATCGCCTATATTGAACCTTTCACCCAGATTCCCCAGTTATTCACATCTTGCTGTTTTTGTTCTGTCTCTCCTTTTCTGAATATGTGTATGTGTAGTTCATATTCCTTTTTTCTTTTGCTGAGCTTTTTTGCTGCCACTTTTTGAAGTGGCAGGCATCAATGACATTTGTCCCTAACTACTTCAGCATATACCTCCTAAATACAAAGATGTTTACCTCCATAAATACAGTTCCATTGCCATATCTGAGAAGTTCAATAAAAGTACTATAATACTCATTTCCTCAGTTGTTCCTTAAGAGTGTGTGTGTTTTGATTCGCACAGTACATGTGGCTCTTACGACGCTTAAGTCTCTCAGTCTGATACAGTCTCCCTGCCTTTAATTGTTTTTTATTTTTTATGACTCTGACTTTTTTCCTTTTATTTTTAGTTGACACATAATGATTGTACATATTTATGGGATACAGAGTGATATTTTGATACACAGATACAATGTGTAATGATCAAATCAGGGTAGTTAGCATATCTATTACCTCAAACATTTGTCATTTATTTGTGTGGGAACATTCTGTTATATCCTCTTTTAACTTTTTGGAAATATGCAATGAATTCTTGTGAATTATGTTCACCCTACAGTGTTGTAAAGCAGTAGGACTTAACTCCTTCTGTTTAGCTGTAATTTTGTGTCTGTTAACCAACCTCTCCAGCTTTTTTAACTCCCACATATGAGTGACAACATGCAGTATTTGTCTTTCTGTGCCCAGCTTATTTCATTAATATAATGTCTTCCAGGCTCATTCATGTTGCTGTGAAGGATCGGATTTTATTCTTTATTGCTGAATAGTATTTCATTGTGTTTATATAGTACGTTTTTTTTATCCGTTCATCCATTATGGATGCTTAGATTGAGTCCATATTTTTCCTGTTTTGAATAGTGCTGCAGTAAACATGGGTGTGCAGATATCTTTCTGATACACTGATTCTTTCCTTTGGATAAATATTAGTACTGGGATTGCTGGATCCTATGGGGGTTCTATTTTTAGTATTTTGAAGACCCTCCATACTGTGTTCCATAGTGGCTGTGCTAGTTTCCATTCTCACTAACAGTGTGTAAGAGTTCACCTTTTTCCACATCCTCACCAGCCTTTGTTATTTTTTGTCTTTTTGATAATAGCCATTCTAATCAGGATATGGTATCTCATTGTGGCTTTGATTTGCATTTTCCTGATGATTAGTGATACTGAGCATTTTTTCATATACTTGTTGCCCATGTGTATGTCTTACGAAAAACATCTATTCAGATCCTTTGCCCATTTTTAAATCAGATTCTTTTTTTTGCTCTGAGTTGTTTGAGTTCCTTGTATAGGGATATTAGTACCTTCTCAGATGGATAGTTTACAAATACTTTCTCCCATTTTACAGGTTGTCTATTTACTCTGTTGATTATTTCCTTTACTGATTACAGAAGCTTTTTAGTTTGATACAGTCTCATTTGTCTGTTTTCATTTTGTTGCCTGTGTTTTTGAGGTCTTAGCTATAAAATCTTTGCCTAGACCAGTGTTCAGAAGGATTTCTCTTGTTTTCCTCTAGTAGTTTTATAATTTGGGGCCTTATATTTATGTCTTTAATTCATTTTGAATTGATTTTTCCACGTGGTGAGATACAGAGGTCCAGTTTCATTCTTCTACATATACTGTTTTCCCACTACTATTTACTAAAGATGGTGTCCTTTCTCCAGTGTATGTTCTTGGTGCCTTTGTCAAAAATTAGTTAGTTGCAAATACATGGTTTTATTTCTGAGTTCACTGTTCTGTTCCATAGTCTATGTGTCTGTTTCCATATTACTATCATGCTGTTTTGGGTACTATAACTTGTAGTATATTTTGAAATCAGGTAGTGTAATGCCTCCAGCTTGATTCTTTTTGTTCAGTATTACTTTGGCTTTTTGGCATCTTTTGTGGTTTCATGAAAATTTTAAGTTTTTTTTCTACTACTGTGAAGATTGTCATTGGTATTTTGATAGAGATTGGATCGAATCTGTAGTTTGCTTTGAGTAGTATGGTCATTTTAACAATGTTAATCCAATCCATGAACATGGGATATCTTTCTGTATTTTTGTATCTTCTTCAGTTTCTTTCACCAGTGTTTTGAAGTTTTCATTGTAGAGTGGTTTCACCTACTTGATTCAATTTATTCCTAAATATTTTATTTTATTTTTGTAGCTATTGTAAATGGAATTGCTTTATTGATTTCTTTTTCAGTTTGTTGTTGGAGTATAGAAACACTACTGATTTTTGTATGTTGATTTTTGTATCCTGCAACTTCACTGAATTCATTTATCAGTTCTAAGAGTTTTTGGTGGAATCTTTAGGTTTTTCTACATATGAGATCATATTGTCTGCAAAGAGGGACAATTTCACTTCCTGTTTTCCCAGTTTGGATGCCCGTTCTTTCTTTCTCATACTGACTGCTCTGGCTAGGACTTCTAGTACTGTGTTGAATAAGACTGGTGACAGTGGGCATCCTTGTCTTATTCCAGTTCTTAACTCTGACTTTTTGATGAATCCAGGTTACTTTTCTTGTAGAATGTCCCACATTCTGAATTTCTCCAATTGTTTTTGCATGAGTGTGTTCAGATGAAGAGGTTTGGGCATGGATTCTTCATGAGGAATGCTATGTGCTGCTTTGCTTCATCCCCCAGGTATCTGTCAAGGCCTTGCATGGAGACCTTGTGGGTGGGTGTATTTGGTGCATGAGGCCAGCCACTGGGGAGGGGGCTCTGCTGGCATTAATGGATGGGGGCCAGGAATGCTAAATGTGCAAGGAATTATCTCAACTGCAAATAACATTTTGGGGTATATGTCGGCAGAGCAGTTGCCTAATGCTGTAAGGAGTTGATCATGGTGACTGTGGCGAGGAGGGATTAGAATATGGAGCAATATGTGTAGAGTATAAAGTAAGAGATGAAAGGCACAAGATGGAAAGAAGCCTAGGAGAAGGGTAGCATGAGTCAAGTCCAGGTGGAGGAGATGGTCTAAGATGTGGAGAAGGTTTTTAGGAGAAAGGGGCAAAGTTGAGCCATTTCCTGTTTATTTTTCTTAATTGATATGAAACAGGAAACAAAGGCATCTGTTAAGAATAAGGCCTCCCATGTAAGCTATGGAATCTGGAGTCAGTTGCCAGTCAATAAATGGATTGGCAACATGTGAGTGCCTCAGAGAAGTCAGAAAATACCCAGGCAGTTCACATAGTTATGTGATTTTCTCAGCCATGTTGGGAAAAGAAAATAAATGCTTGGCTTACCCATGGTTTGCAGGTAGGCAAACATGAAGTGGCATGAGAGCATAAGAATCTAGGCTAATTGGAGAACTTACCTGTGTTGTATGCAAATCCTCTCATTGATTCGGGAGATACCTGGTGGTGTTTTGGTTTTCTTTGCGGTAACAAACAGTAGAAGCTCACTCAAACTAGGCAAACTGAGGGAGGTTACTGTAAGAATCCTGGGATTAATAGGTAGAATCTCAGAGGAACCTCGAAAGAGAACTATACTAGGGCTGGGCCTGCCTGCATTTGGAGGTGAGGTCCCAGCTGCTCTGGGGCCCAGCAGCACAGTGGGGGGTTTGTAGAGATGTGCTCTTCCTTGGCCTAACTTGGCGACAACTCTGCAGGTCCATTTCTTCCCATTCCTCTACCACCTGGAAAATTTTCTTTGCCTCTAGTTAATTTTCCTACAAAAGAAAGAATTGGATTGACTCAGCCCACCTTTTTCTGCCATTCCGTAGATTTCTGGCCAGCTTATGTTGGCTCTTGTGAGATCAGATGGCTGTCCCCAGTCTAATCACTTGTGGCCACTGGCAGGGGTTGGGGAACATACAGTGCTGTGGATGGTGGTGTCCTTTGAAGGGACTGTGACTGGGCAGGCACCTTCCACCTTTTCTCTGCCACCTACACACAGCTTTCTGTCCATGCACACGGTCTCATGGTTCACCCACCAAAGTATTCCAGGTCCTCTCCACACAGCCAGAGAGGCCCTCTCTTCTCCCAAGTTGGGGCCTCTCCTAGGCAGGAGTGCCACCTTATAATGTCCATTCTTCTCTGACTCAGTCTGATAAAGGCTCTGGAGATAGTTCTTTCTTAACCCCTGGACTACAGAGATGACCTATGGTCATCCTTGTCCCTGCCGTATATTAGCACCCCCCTCCAGACACACTCACACACGTACCATCCCGCTTTGATGGTCAGGAATACTCAGTCCAGCACCGTTGAGCTGCATACTTGCCTCGCCTCTCAGTGGCATAAGAAATATGAAATGGCAAAGAGGTGGTCTCAGCTTCCAGTGAAGTAGCATAATTCAAGGTTGCCTGGAAGAAGTGCTCCAGGAGAGCAGAGCCCAGAATCATGGGCATGGAAAGAAAACATTTTGGAGAGTGTCTTTAGGGGCAGATGGGTGGCACTACCTCCACCTCCTCCTTCTGGTTTTTAGACCTCTGAGTCTGTGCTCCGGGAGAGCCGGTCCCGTTTGTTGGTGGCTGGCCAGTGTGTGGTCTCTTCCCCTGAGTCAGGGGCCCATCCCAGGTCTCTGTTAAGGTACCTTAGAATTTTCCTGAAACTGTTGATGTTTTAAGGATCAGTTACACTGAACTGGACTCATTTATTTTCTTTATATAAATATATGTAATATAGATTTTTGCTGTAAAGTTTCACAAAATAAAACAATGTAATTTGTTTGTCTTTCAGTGTGATTATGTTAATGTTCCGACTACGGTGTTTACTCCTCTGGAGTATGGTTGCTGCGGATTAGCTGAAGAAAAAGCTATTGAAGTATATAAAAAAGAGAATCTAGAAGTAAGATTGTGTTTTATTACTTCCTTAAAAACAATCTCTTTTAATCAACAATTTTTCTTTGCAGTCACTTTTTATTTCAGCAATTTGCAAGTTACTGTGATCGTTATACTGTAAAAATCATATTCCTATTTTAGGAAAATTAGCAATTAATTTAAACCCTGTCTGTCTAGCAAACAAGAATAATATGGTTGGGAAAGAGGAGAGTGTAATCTGTAAGTCAGGACACTTGAATTACAAGTAACAAAAATCTATTTGAGCAAACTTATACAAGGAAGCTCAAAGTTATTTTAAGATCTTTTGGGAATGCAGGAGTATGAATGGCTATGGGTGGTAAGGTGGGAAGTTCCAGGGTTGTCTGCCTGTGGGCTCTTCATATTTCCAAAAGGATGCCCTCTACACACCTTTATTGCTACCTCTCCTTTACACCCTAACCCTGTCCAATTATAATCTTAAAAATGTTTTCTTACATTGTCTCTTGCTGGGAAGTTTGACTTTTTTCTGCCCACTCTCCCAACATAGGCGGGAGAGAGAGAGTTAAAAAGAATTGGAGGGTTATTAATACTTGATATTTCAAGTAAAAGAGAATTGAAATCATAGTCCTTTTCCTTGAAGGCAGTTTAGTTGTATGATTTATTATTAGGAATTTATTTAAATGATAGCACTGATATTCCCTAGTTAAATGGCCTAAGGATTTAAGAAACTCCTATTTAAATTTCTGGTGCTGGGGAAATGTGTAATTAAAACCTTATGTTACTTTAGATGGTTATTTTTGAAATTTACATTTTAGGGAACATTTTATCAGAGTTTTTAAATTAACTCTTTATATAATAATAAGCTGTCCTTTTTGCATTGGTCTTGGAAAATCGATGATAATAATTATGGATTTAACATTTAGTTTTAAAAGTTTCTGAAATTAATGAAAAATTAAGGTAGAAAGATGTCAGGCACATGACAGGAAGGATGTAGAAGGCTGTGTCCCAGACAAAGGAATATCTTTATAGGAAACAAGTTCCCCAAGTTTTTGGGATTACTTTAAGGTCTTTTCACCAAGGTTTGCTGCAGATCAACTCACCTGTTTTATTTATTTATTTGTTGCTTTTTGACAGGACTTAAAATGTGATGTTAATATTTTTTTAAAGTTCCCATTGTAGAGAAACACAAACACATTGTACAGCTGTACAAAATATTTTCTTTCTTTATATCCTTATTCTATAAGCTTTTTTCTATTTTTTTTTTTTTTTACTTCTTGTTTATAAAAAATGAAAATACAAACACACACATTAGCCTAGGCCTACACAGGGTCAGAAACATCAATGTCACCGTCTTCTCCCACCACATCCTGTCCCAGGGCAGTAACACACGTGGAACTGTTACCTCCTATGATGACAATGCCTTCTTCTGGATACCTCCTGAAGGACCTGCCTGAGGCAGTTTCACAGTTAATTTATGAGTTGAAGGAATACATTCTAAAATAATAGTAGAATGTGTGGTATAATAAATACATAAATCAGTATCATAGTCATATCACATTTATTATCTTTATCAAGTATTATGTACTGTACATGATTATATATGCTAGACTGTTGGAGATTGGCAGTGCGGTATCAGCATCACCAGCATCACCACAAATAGTGAGTAATGTGCTGCACTATGATGTTGCAATGGCTATAATGTCACTAAGTGGCAGGAATTTTTCAGCTCCATTTTAATGTTATGGGACCACAGTCATATATGCTGTCCATCGTACACCAGCATTGTTTTGCAACACATGCTGTGCATGACTGGAGATGGGAGGAAGTGTGAGTGCATTTAGGTCTGTGGTTCATTTTGAGTTAGAGTTTGTCAATGTGCGAGCTAAGGGTGCAGCTTCATCCTTTGCTTGTTGCTTTCAAGTTGTCTGTCAATAGCTTTTACATAGTAAAGGAAACACTGGTAACTGTGGTAGCTAAGAGTATATAACTGTATTGGGAAGATGGGGATGGGAAGGGCAGGAAGGAGCTAGAGTGAGTGCTAGGGGCCAGGGAAGAGAGCTCATCTTGCTCTTGCATAGAGCCAAATCAATAAATAAAGCCTAAAATAGGAAAGTCAGGCAGTAGCAATATAAGCATGTTATTTAGAAACATAGAGGTAAATACCCAAATGATTAAATAAAAGAGGTTGAACATGGTGGCCTCTAGGTTCATTGAAATAGGTGGGATCAGAGATCACTGTTTTCCACAGCAAAGCTTTGAAAATTATGTCTGTAATTGTGCATACGTTGATAAAAAGACTTCAAGAATAATGAGGGGAGCCCTAATTATATATGAAACTTTACCACATGGCTGCAGTGCTTACAGTTGTGCAGCAGTGGCACACAGATGGACAGCAAGATCAGTAGAACAGAATGTGAAACCCAGAAATGGATTCAAATGCTCGTAAGAATTAGTATGTGATAAGGTCATATTTTAAATCCATAGTAAAAACACAGGCTGTCCATTAAAGGGTGCTGGAATAAGTGGGTAGCTATTAAGGAAAAATATAAAGTTGGAAGTTGGATCCACATTTCACATCCACTTTGAACCAGAAGGGTAAGAAATGTAAATACAGTAAAATCTTCAAAGTGCTAGAAGGAAAAACCACATTTGACAAAACCAGTGAAAGAATGAAAGGAGATGGGGGGAAGTGTGAGTGTTCACCTCCTTGCTTCATAGCAGAAGTGATAGAACACATCAGAAATAGTAGCTTACTGTTTTAAAAATCATGTTTAAAACCTGGTAAGAGAAATCAGGAGGCGGAGCTTGCAGTGAGCCAAGTTCGTGCCATTGCACTCCAGCCTGGGCGAAAGAGTGAGACTCTGTCTCACAAAAAGCAACAACAACAACAACAACAACAACAAAAAACCTGGTAAGAGTTTGTACCATCTCTTTTTAACCTTAGAGGTGTGTTTTTAGGAAAGTATATTCTAAGATAAAGAAACATTTCTGTTTTTAGTAGCTGCAGAGATTAAAAAGTTTGTATTAAAATAGGTAGAAGTGGTAGGGGGTGGTGACTCACACCTGTAATCCTTGCATTTTGGGAGGCTGAGGCAGGTGGGTCACTTGAGCTCAGGAGTTTGAGACAAGCCTGGGCAACATGGCAACACCCCATCTCTACAAAAAATACAAAAATTAGCCAGGTGTGGAGACGCGCACCTGTAGTCCCAGCTACTTAGGGACTGAGGCAGGAGGATTGCTCGAACCTCGGCAGTCAAGGCTGCAGTGAGCCGAGATCTCACCACTGTACTCCAGCTTGGGTGACAAAGTGAGACCCTGTCTCAAAACAAACAAACAAAAAAATGGGTAGAAGAGTTTATTTCTCTTCTGTTAAAAACAAGTTAAATCAATTTTTTTTTTGGCTACAAGTAACTATATATTGTGATACCTCCTTAATAAAAATTTTGTTTTAACTCTACATGCACCAGCAATTGATGCTTTTCCCCAACATTCAAAATGATTATTTCTGGGTGGTATTTTAAAATTTAAATCCATCCATTGTGGATTATTGTTCATACTACATTTCCAATTCTGTCACCCAGCATTAACTGCCCGTTTGTGTATGGAGTGATTCAGAGGTACAACACTGGGAGACCACAGCAACCCCAAGCTGGAGAGAGGGCACATGGCATTTTATTCTGGTTCTTAGAAAACTGAGCCAGATTGAAGAGGCATAGAGGCACCGGCATGAGGGCCTGGGGGCAGAAATGTGAGAGACATGATTCGTGCTCTCCCATCGCTATGTTCTGGAGCTCTCAATGACTGGAGCTGTTTTATTTCTTCTGCTCCTCCTTAAGTTTGCTGGAACATGAGCCCTGTTATCAGGGTCAGCTTTGACGTCAGGATCTTAGTCTTCAACTCTGCAGCCCACACGAGAACCTGTGCCTGGTGCTCTGCCTTGGGTTGCTGGTACTCTATACATGTTTGAAAACTAAATTTTGTTTGTAGATTTTTGCTTGGACTTACAGCCAAGCAAGTAAAACAACAGCCAACACACGTATGCAGCTAGCATTTCAGGAGCCTTGACCCCGGGGCTCCTAACAGATACATAAAGTTGGGGTCACTGAACTTTAAATTTTTGAAAGCTGCTATGGAGATTATTGCCTTTATAGAATTAAAGAGCCTATCAAAGAATGGTTTCCATATACGTTAATTCTGCCCTTTTTCTCTCTTTTATCTTCCAGATATATCATACTTTGTTCTGGCCTCTTGAATGGACAGTAGCTGGCAGAGAGAACAACACTTGTTACGCAAAGATAATCTGCAATAAATTAGACCATGTATGTAATACCACTAGAAGCCAAAAATGCTGTGATATTTAAATGTAGTTTTTATTTCTAGTATTTAGATTTCTATAATTTTTTTTCTTTTTTTTTTTTGGAGACGGAATCTTGCCATGTTGCCCAGGCTGGTCTCCAACTCCTGACCTCAAGTGATCCTCCTGCTTCAGCCTTCTGAGCAGCTGGGACTGCTCTGTTTTTATAATCTTTCTAAGGTAGCTTTCAGGACAATGCAGAGCACCTCCTTGTTGTCATTTAGTTAACATGTCACAGAGGCTGAGCAGTGACAGTTTGCGATTGAGCCCTACCAGTGTCCACTCAAAATACATCACTGAAAGGTGCCTTTTCCCAGGGCCATCTTGATAGCCTGATAGTTTAAACTTGATAGTTTAGAACTAGAAGATCTGTGAAAATTTTGGTCATCAAATAGTAAGTTGTATGTATGCATTTTATAAACAGACTGAATGTGTGTCAAAAGTCTTTAGATGGAGATGTTCACACAAAGTGAAACTTGACTTACTGAGCTAATTCCTGATGCTTTCACTAAAGCAGCAGCCCATTATTGGAGGCTTTCCTCCTCCCAGTTACCAGTGGCGAGCATCAAAATGGTTAACAGCCTTCCTCAGTAGCGTAGTTTAAAGCACAGTTTATTTATAATTTGCTTTATAAAGAATTCTGAATGTAGAAAGCAATGTTAAGACTTGGTTCTTCTCTTGAAGAGTTTATCATCTATCTGGGGAGAGGAAACATACAAATAGATAAATATGAACTGCAACAAGTGACATTTACATAAAAGTTTACTGAACAGCAGTCATTATCTTGTTTAATTCTCACATCTCTGTATTTATCTTATTTTCAGTATAACAGAAAACAGGGTGTCCCAGGCTAGTAGCCCATTAGCATGTGCTCTTTTGCCTGAATGATGAAGTCATCCAGAGCTCTAGGGCTTAGTCTCTTGGTAGTTGCACATGGCTACAGGGCAGTGACAAGGATGGTGATCATAATGGCCCTGAAATGCTCCAGGTTGGGCAAGTTCGCAGCTGTGCTCCTAAGGATGGATGCTTATGTGCTGGGCTACATCCTCATTCTTTGGGACAGAGTTATCTGAGGTCAAGTTTTGGCAGTTGTGGGCGACCTTTCCAAAGGGAACAGGGAGAGACTACACATTGTTACTCTCCGAAAGTGAGACGGTTGGGGTTTGATGGGAGAGCTGCTGCTGAAGGTGGGACTTGCAGCCATCATGCTAGTTCTGACCTCCTCATGAGGGTGTGGGCTGCACCTCTGTGGCTGTCAGCCCCGCTTCCCATCTCTGAGCCCTTCTGCTGTGTCCCACGCCACCCCTCCGGCTCCCGCCCAGGTCCCCAGGCCACACTCTTGGCCTTGCTCTTTAACCATGGGGATTATGTCCCTTTCCTTTACCCTGGCCACATGCCTATTTCTTGAGCAGAACCCTCGAACTTATGAAATGGGAATACTTGATTCCAGCTCTAAGGTCAAAATTGTAAATGAGACTTCCCTCACTCAGGACCTTCATTTACAGTTATCAGTGGAGATTCTCACCAAGTATCCTTACTTTGCTCTGAGCCACCCCGCTTTTCTGTTTGCTGAGCAACCCACCAACCACCTCAGGTTCCAATGCAGTAGTCTTCCGTGGGTCCTGGGAACTCATTCTGAAGCCCCAGCCCAGGCAGCTTCTGCCTGCCTCCCCTCTGGAGTGCCCACTAGCAGATGCAGATGTGTATGACCATTCTGAGCTGTTGCTTTTTTCAGAAACTCAGTAGGCAAGGATTTCTCCTGGCCCTAGCCTCCGTTGCCCTTTTATAGTCTTTCTCTTCATCTCTTGTGTGCTTTTACTGTTGAAGATCACAGTGAAAGATAATGCTATGAAGGAATGTTGACAAATGGACAGCCTAGAATGCACCATTACTGTGGAAAATGACTGCACATCTTGCTTCCCATCTCGGTGGGTCAGCTCTTTGCCTGCACCCCATACCTCTCAGCACACAGTCCTGGGTGGCAGCCCTGCACCAGCCTCTCCTTTGTCTCCACTTGATGTTGGGAACAGGGCATCTTGCTTCCTGGGCCAACAACCTCTTATTTCCAGTAAAACCTGCTGCCCCAGAGTTATTCCAGTGTTGGACTTTAATTCAGATTTGTTATGTTGTTGTTGCGCATTGTCTCAGCATAATTTGGACATTTACTTCATACTAATGAAGTCCTTCATGCAGTGGGTAAATTGTTTGTTCTAGTAAATTTGAGTGCAAATTAACTCTGGATGTGCATTTACTGGCTCATTTAACAGACTCTTACAGTGGCTTAGTTTCATGGTAATGTTCTCTGCTCACTTTGACGTTGAAGTTCTTTTTTCTGTAGTAGATACTGTATATTTTAACTGTGAACTTGCAGTGAATGCATCCGTATTCAGACCATTAACCTACAGGGATTCTCTTTGTTTTGTTTCTGTATTAAAGGATCGGGTGATAGGATTTCATATTCTTGGACCAAACGCCGGTGAGGTTACCCAAGGATTTGCAGCTGCAATGAAATGTGGGCTCACAAAACAGCTACTTGATGACACCATTGGAATTCACCCCACATGTGGGGAGGTAGGAAACAGGAGGTTTTAAAAATTGGCTTCAGTTGATGTAGTTTGAAAAACTATTATAAAGCACTTGTTAGATGTCATATTAGTAACTGATTTGTATATTTTATTTTTAATTTAATTTAATTTTATTTTTTTTTCAGACAGGGTCTCACTCTGTCACCCAGGCTGGAGTGCAGTGGCATGATCTTGACTCACTGCAACCTCCACTTCCCAGGTTCAAGTGATTCTCCCACCTCAGCCTCCTGAGTAGCTGGGACTACACTACAAGTGTACACCACCATGCCTGACTAATTTTTCTATTTTTAGCAGAGATGGGGTTTCACCATGTTGGCCAGGCTGGTCTCGAACTTCTGACCTCAAGTGATCCACCCACCTCAGCCTCCCAAAGTACTGGGGTTACAGGCATGAGCCACCATGCCTGGCCAGATTTATATATTTTAAAGAATAGCATAAATGTAATATTCAGAATGTGTTTTCTTAAAGCAGTGCTAACATCTAAATATGTATTTGTTTTCTTTCTCTTGAACAGGTGTTCACGACTTTAGAAATCACAAAGTCGTCGGGACTAGATATCACTCAGAAAGGCTGCTGAGGCTAGGCCTGCTGCTGTTTGGTTTTCCTTGTCATATTCTCATTTCTCTCAAAGTTAAGAACACTCTTGGATAACATGAACCTGTGCTCATGACAGCTGCTCTGTTACTCAGGGACCAGTGCAGGGCTGCCTTACAACACTGAGATGAGAAAGTAGATGAGGAGACAGGACAGCAGTGGGCATCTGCCTTGTAGTTTTGCTGACTGCGAGAAGCAGTGGGACTGCTTCCTTGACGCCTTAGCTTGGAGCCCTGTTGTGAGGTGAGCCAAGGCCGACTCTCGCAAGCCAAGACTGAGCTTCCCTCGGAAAGACCTTTGAGTGGCACCATTCATCTAAGTTAGCTTTTCTGGTCGCCATTGTTTTCATCCCCTTTGCTTTGTTGTTTCTATGAAAATATATTTTCAGTTATGAAACTCTATAAAGTGATGGTTTTCTAGTGTGTTGGCCTAGAATTCACACATACTCACTGGTGAACAGTGTCTGTGGGCTGCATTTGGATAGCTGTCTGCAGAGGACCATGTGCATTAGCAGGAAGCTGTACACACTGTGTAAGGTTAGTCATCTCTTTTCTTTTTTGAGGCACATTTAACCTACTGTTAAAATGCTGACTCGTGCTTCACACTCACACGTATTACTTGGTGGTGATAACCTTGAAGCTATTCTCCCCTAATTAATATCTCTACTCTGAACAAAATATCTCATGTAATATAAAAGTACTTGAATTGCTTTTTCATGTTGATCTTAATAGTAATATTTCCAAAAGTTCTTAATACTGTATTATGTGAAATCTAACTAATTTAACTGTGAAATAATTCTATCACAGTCTATTTAATGATGGTCAGGTTCCATAAATGAATACAGGTAATATTAAGTGGTTGCATGAGAATTTACAAACTTGTCAGCATTTCAGAGGTCCTTGAAGACAGAGGCCCATCCACGGTCCTTTTGGAAAACCTCTGTTTTCTTGAGTATGCCACACAGTAGCCAATGCAAGGCTCTTTTAAGCCACTTGCTCTCATGAGCCACACTAGCTGTTTAGCTTAAGATTGGATAGACTGGGGTCAGAATTTCTAGCCATTTGTCTTAAAAGACAAATGTTAAGCCAACAGTTAGGAACACTGTTTGTAGACAGGCATTTTGCTACCCTTTCTGGAGGCAGGGAATGGAGCAGTGGGGTAGTGGGACTGGGAACCCAAAGAAAACTGACATAGGACCTAGTTATAGAGTGGCTTTTTTCTTTGGGAGAAAAAAATACAAATGTATCTTAAAGGTGTAAAGTATGTTGGGGTAATTGCTATCCCTGTGGCAGAAACAGTGCAGCAGGAGGCAGAGGGAGATGTTACTAATTTCTATTGGCTATGGGGCAGGGGTAGGGTGATTGAACAGAGTTTAATGAAAGTAGCCATATTTGAGCTGAATTGCAGGAGACAAAAGGATTTTAAAGATTAGAAGCAATATGGAGAGGGTATGATTAATGCTTTCAACAGACTTGATTTAAATACTTGATAAAATATATTTTTAATAATTTTGTTACTGTATTGCTGAGTGCCACACACACACAGAGCCAGCTTTTCCAGAATCCCAAATGAAGCAAAACCAAGAACCCTGGAAGCCTTCAACTCCTGCTTTGCACTGAGCATGGGGCAAGAAAAACGAAATCCCAGGTTTGCATGGGTGGAGTTTCTAATAGGAAATCTTTGTGTAAAGCTGGAAGCCCAATGGGCTGTACCCCAGTGGAAAGTTGAGTGGGAAACAGACTGCCTCACAGAGAGAGGCAGCAGAGAAGCCTGTCTTCTCACTGATGTGAGTGGAAAGAAGCAATCCATCTTAAGCATTTGTAACCACTATCCAGGTTACACACCATTGGAACGGCTAATTATCTTTCTTTTGCAAGGAGGGGAGGATGCTTACATATAAATATATCTGTCTTGGCTTCCTCTCACCCTTTTATTTTCCTCTCTGTCTCTTTCTCTTCTCCCTCTTTTTTCCTCTCCTGGGGTAAATATGGTACTTATATATTGGTGAGAGACTAATTTTACCTGGAAGATAAAACTAGTATGCATCTAATAACATACGGATGTGTATAGATCTGCAAGGAATAATTGATACTGTCCATTATAGTGGAGATTTTAACATACTTCAGTAAATTATTAGGTCAAACACACAAAAAAATCAGTAAAGATTTATTTTTGAGTAGCAGAATTAACAAGTTCAACTCAAATATTGCACCCAATATGAAAGCATACTCATTTCAAGCACGCATGGAATATTTATGGAGTTTGCCTTGTACTAGGCCATAAAGGCTAGGCTTAAGAAATTTCAAAAGGCTAGTGTCATATAGGCATGGGCAAGAGGATTTCAGCTGTGGAACTAACTAGGAACCCAAAGACCTTAAACTCCATGTAGCATGATGGAAGGTAGAGGGAGGAGCTGGTGTGAGAGAAGTGAGGGGTTAGTGAGAACAAGCTGGAGAGTTAGTAGAACCAGGAGCCGCTTCACAAGAAGAAGAGAGCTGTAGGAAGATCCTATGCCTTGAAGAATGATAAACTTGGGAATGCCTGGTCTCATGACTTACTAGATGTGTGATAGATTGCTTAACTTTTCCTATTCTTCGTTTATTAAGTACGGACAGTATTGCCTGTCTCACAGACTTAAAGAATTGAGCAACATTTATTAAGTTGTTAATATAGCACATTGGATGGAAAATCTTGGCTTCTGTGATAAATAGGGTCCCATTAAGGAAAGCTTTTGCAGACACTCAACAGTACAAGCAGTAGGCAGGCAGACAGGAAGAAGGCGGACAAATTGCTGCTCTTGCAGACTTTCACTGTGCAAGGGGGCCTCCAGGTTGGCCGCTAAATTGGATCTCCACCAATGGGAAATCACACCTTTGTATAGTCCCGGCTTTGTTACACCAGGGCTGGTCTGTGTGGCCAGTAGCATATGGCAGGAGTGATGGTATGTCCCTGCCAAGATTAGGTCATGAAGAGATTGCAGCTTAAGTTTTGGTCACCCTCATTCACTCTCTCAGGTCACTTGTTTTGGGAGAAGGCAGCTGCCATGTTTTGATGACACTCAGGAATCCTATGGAGAGGCCCATATGGTGAAGAACTGAAGTCTCCAACAGTCAGCAAGAAACTGAGGTCTGCCAATGTCTCTGTGAACGAGCTTGGAAGTGAATGCTACTCCAGTCAAGCCATCCCTGGGCCAGCAGCTTGACAGTAACCTCTTGAGAGGCTTTGAACCAGAACCATTCAGTTGGTTACTCCAAATTCCTGATCCTTAGAAACTGTGAGAGGATAAATATTTGCAATTTAAGCTAATTAAAACATCAGACAAGCGGCCGAGCGCAGTGGCTCATACCTGTAATCCCAGCACTTTGGGGGGCTGAGGCGGGTGGATCACCAGGTCAGGAGATGGAGACCATCCTGGCTAAGACGGTGAAACCCCATCTCTACGAGAAATACAAAAATTAGCCGGACCTGGGTGGTGGGCACCTGTAGTCCCAGCTACTTGGAAGGCTGAGGCAGGAGAATGATGTGAACCCTGGAGGCGGAGCTTGTAGTGAGCCGAGATTGTGCCACTGCACTCCAGCCTGGGTGACAGAGTGAGACTCCTTCAAAAAAAAAAGAAAAAAAATCAGACAAGTTGCTGTTAAGGTATTCAAAAGTAAGGTATTGTACAAAATACCTCACCAGTACTCTTGAAAGCTGTTAAGATCATGAAAAATAAGGAAGGTCTAAAAAACTACCATAGTCAAGGGAAGCCTAAGGAGACATGCCAGTCAAATATAATGTAATGTCCTGGATGAGACCCTGGAACAGAAAATAACTAATGTTTTTATCTAATCTGAGTAAACTAATGACTTTAGTTAATAATGTAACATGGTTCATTAATTGTAACGTGTACCATACTAATAAGGGAAACTAGGTGGGGTGAGGGGGTGTGTAGGAACTCAGTATTATTTTCTCCATTTTTTGTAAATATAAACTGTCCTAAAATACTGTTTATTTTTTAATGAAAAATCTACAGAAATTAACAAAATAATAGCAACATATTTTAAACAACTCTATCCCACTAAATTAAAAGAAAAAACTTATGGAAAATGGACAAACACCTGGAGAAACTGACTCAAGAAGAAATAGAAAATTTGAATATTGCTGTATTCATTAAAGAAATAAAATTTATCATTAAAACCTTTCTGCATTGAAAAAGACAAGACTAAATGGCTTTGCTGTCAAATTTTTTCAAACATTTAAGGGGAAAAAGAAGCCAATTCTACACAAATAGAAGGAAGGAACACTTCCCAACTCTTGCATCCAGCAGAACACTGGTACCCAAAAACTGACAAAGATTTTGAGAGAAAATAGCTATAGACCAATACAACATATGAAAGTCAACTCCAATATTCCTAAAAATTCTATCTTCAATCCAACAAATTATACAATGGATAATACATCATGACCAAGTTTATATCCCAGGAATGCAATGAAATAATATGAGAAATGAAAGAAAGCAATATAGTCATCTCAATAGATGTAGAAGACGGGGTTTTTTTTGTTCTTTTTATTATGTTTATCACTTATCCTCAAGTTTGCATTTATGATATAAATTCTAAGCTAACTAGGAATAGAACATCCTCAAACAAGTAAATGACATCTATAGAAAAAGCGCAACTAACATTATACTAAGATGACTGAGCACAGACAAGGATGCTGACTTTACCATTTTTATTTAACATTGTAATGGAGGTCCTAGTCAGTTAAGTAGTGCAGGAAATATAAATAAAAAGCACACAAATTTGAAAGGGAGACCTAAATGTCCTTATTTGCTGATGACATGATTGTGTACATAGAAAATCCTAAGAAATCTGCCAGAAATAACTACCAGAACTTCCAGATGAATTTAAAAGTTGAAGAATACAAAGTTAACATAAAAAATCAATTGTATTTCCTTCCTTCCTTCCTTCCTTCCTTCCTTCCTTCCTTCCTTCCTTCCTTCCTTCCTTCCTTCCCAATTATTTCAAAAATATAAATTAATATTCCTTCTATTATTATTCTTAGCCCTTCACTGCCACTTCTTCACCCTTCCTGCCTTCCCTCCCTCCTCTCCTCCTCCCTCCTCCCTCTCTCCCTCCTCTCTCTCTCCCTCCTCAACTTCCTTCCTTCACCCCCTTTAGTTTATTCAGTTCTTTCTTTTTGTTGTGTGGACAGTCCTCTATTGGAGCTAGATGCAGTCTGGCATGATCTCAGCTCCTTCCTTCCTTCCTTCCTTCCTTCCTTCCTTCCTTCCTTCCTTCCCTCCCTCCCTCCCTCCCTCCCTCCCTCTCTCCCTCCCTCTCTCCCTCCCTCCTTCCTTCCTTCCTTCCTTCGTTCATTCGTTCTTTCTTTTTTGTTGAGACAGAGTCTTGCTCTGTTACCCAGGCTGGAGTGCAGTGGCATGATCTCAGCTCACTGCAACCTCTGCCTCCTGGGTTCACACAATTCTTCTGCCTCAGCCTCCTGAGTAGCTGGGACTACAGGCGTGTACCATGAGACGCCTGGCTAATTTTTGTATTTATAGTAGGGATGGGGTTTCACCATATTGGTCAGGCTGGTCTCAAACTCCTGACCTCATGATCCACCCACCTCAGCCTCCCAAAGTGCTGAGATTACAGGCATGAGCCACCACACCTGCCAATCAATTGTATTTCTAAGAACTAACAACAAGCCATATTGAATTGAAAATATGATTACGGTATCATGCACAACAGCATATAAATACGAAATACTTAGGGATAGTTTTAACAAAATATGTGCAAGATCTTTATATGAAAAACTATAAAACATTGCTGAGAAATTGTAAAATGAAATAAATGGAAAGAAATACCATATTTATGGATTGGGAGAGTCCATATTATTAAGGTGTTTCTTTCTGCTCATTGATTTTTGGATTCCGTGCAACCCCAGTGAGAAATCCCAGCATGTTTGATGGCAAAAAAAAGAAAAAAAAATTCTCTTAATTTTTTTATATTTGATATATTTTTTAAATTTCACCTTTCCTGATGGATAATTTGCTTGATGTAGAAATCTGAGTTGTTAATAATAATAATTATTTTTGAGATGGAGTCTTACTCTGTCACCCAGGCTAGAGTGCAGTGGCATGATCTTGGCTCACTGCAACCTCTGCCTCCTGGGTTCAAGCGATTCTCCTGCCTCAACCTCCTGAGCAAGCTGGGACTACAGGCGTGTGCCACCACACCTGGCTAATTTTTCTATTTTTAGTAGAAATGGTATTTTACCATGTTGGCCAAGCTGGTCTTGAACTCCTGACTTCAGGTAATCCAACTGCCTTGACCTCCCAAAGTGCTGGGATTACAGGTGCAAGCCACTGTGCCTGGCCAATTTTCTTTCAGCAGTTATAAAATGTGGTCCCACTTCCTTTTGGCTTTCATGGTTTCTTATGAGAAATCTGTAATTTGAATTGTCCCTTTATAAGTAAGTGTTGCTTTTCTCTGGTGGCTTTTAAGACTCTATCTTTCATTTG